TTGTTTCATATATGGTTATGAAATTGTTTCATATACTACTTAATGAAACTGTTTCATGTATTTCTCTAAAATTAAAGAAATTGTTTCATGTATTTCTCTAAAATTAAAATAATGAAGATGATAATATCCATGATTAACATCATCCACAATAAAAATGATTAATCAACCTCTCATAATTACAAAAAAATGAACAAAATGAAAAATTATGATTAGTTGAATAAAGTTTGTACGGTTTGTACAAATTAGGTGGTTTTTATTTGAACGCTCCCCTATATAGAGGAGTATATATATATAGGTGGAGGTTCAAACGAGAACCCCTGTAATTTATGAGAATGCGAGAACAATCTAATAACCTCAAATTTTTTTAATTAATAAATTAAATTATATTAAATATAAATAAATTAACAAAGGCAGTAATATAATTAATTAATTTTATAATTTTTATTTTATTTTAATTAGTCATAATTATCTCTTTTTTTTCTGCACGTTCTTTTCCACTCTCTCCTCTCCTCTCCCCTTGTGATAATTGTGTAATTGTGTAACCATAACCTATCGAAACCATGATCAATCAAGTGTAACCATAACCTATCGAAACCATGAGTAATTGTTGTGATAAATGTGTAATTGTCTAACCCTAACCGATCGAAACCATGATCAAATTGAATGCGCAAGTGATGTTATAGTAGTGATATCACATGATTATCATACCCATATCACACCAAATCGTTTAGTGGATTTCGCCCGTAATCGTTGTGATAAATGTGTGATCGTCTAATCCTAACCGATTGAAACCATGATCAAATCGAGTGCGCTGTTATGATAGTGATATCACATGATTATCACACACATATCACACCGAATCGGTAGTCGATTTTCTAAGTTAACCCTAGCCGAGCGGAATTCTTGTGATAATTGTGTGATAACCACATGATTATCACACCCAAATCACACCCAAATCATACCAAATCGTGTTGATATAAGCGATAATGTGATAATCACATGATTATTACACCCATATCACACCAAATCGTGTTGATATAAACGATAATGTGATAATTGTGTGATAATCACATAATTATCGCACCCATATCACATGATTAACCGTTTATTAGATAATGATAATCATGATCGTGTAATCGTATTAAAAGATTTTATGATATCATTTCCATTATTACCCTTTTAATTTTAATATTTTCTGAATCTTTTTAAATTTCAATTTTAGTTTTAAAAATCTTTTAATTTTATTTTTTATCACAATATGTGGTTATTGGATTGTTCTCGCATTCTCGTAAATCACATGGGTTCTCGTTTGAACCCTTCCCTATATATATATATATAGAGAGAGAGAGAGAGAGAGAGAGAGAGAGGAGCGATAAAATGAAAACCACTCCAATTTGTAAAAATCGTAAAAACTACTCTCATCCGTGGTTAATCTTATGAAATTTTTTCATGAAATTGTTAATCTTGTGAA